AGGATCTCCAAAAGGTGGGCGGCCACCAGCTAATCAACCAGGGTCTATTAATCCTGGGTTCCCATTGCTAGAAGCGTGTAGAGGCCTAGTGTGCTGGGGAGGGGGTCCTTTCAACTTCACTTGGTGCAAAGCAATGCCCTGCATGACACGACTAATTTTATCAAGCAAGGTGGCCCTCCGACAAGTTGTGCCACCAGGGTCACCAGCAGCCTGACCACGAGCTTGACGCCACCAAATCAAATTCCAAACCCCCTTGAACGTTCATGGCGCGTCCAAGCCGCGCACGCTCCATCAGTTTTGCCTGGGACCGGCCAGCGAATGTAATTCACTTGCTTCACATTGAAGAGCAGTCAAATCGAACAGATGTCCCTCCCTGAACATGCAATGGGTTGGAGGTTCTTCAGTGGTGCTGTCCTGGCTACTAAGTCAAACTTATCTACACACTTCAAGTCTTTGCCCAAAACATCTGCCTCAACATATGGGCTGCATCATGTTGCAAAGGTTGAAAGAGTGCTTCACGTGCCTGTTGCAGCTCATATCCGATCCTAGCGGTGACATGCACGGTCCACATGAATGGTGGGCGAACGATGATGACACTTCAGGAATCTATCGCGGCCCGTGCGCTTCAATCACTCCTTGCAAAAGGCTGGCTGCATCTGCAAATTTCAAAGCCATCATTGATCTTGCCATTGAAGTTCCCATGGGAATGGCAACCTTCAGCCCGGATCCCCTGAAAAATTGGAAAAATGGGTTGGCTTCCTGGTCCATTGGTGCGAAATTATAGCTTGGTCACGGGTAAGCTGCCGCTGGCGGGACCACAGCTGCCCTCGAGGCCCCCACAAGTCAAGTTCCGCTCCTGCGGCACCTGGCGGTGTCTCATGGCGCAAGCCGGGCTGTCTCCTTCAATTCGGGCTCAAGTTGTTCAGAGTACCCCTTTGCAAGTTGGTTTCAAGGGAAGCCAAAAAGGAAAACCACCTTTTGGACATTTTTCCTGTTTCGACACTGACACATTCTGGCACGGTCCCTGCTTTCAGGAGCCGTTCGAACTCCAACCCCAGCATAGCATTTCGGCTCGAAAACCTTTGAAACAGCTCTGACTCGCTGGAATTGATTCGCCAAGGTGAGTCTCACAAAATTTTCCCCCCCACCCCACCCCCTCATGGATCTGGGTGACCGGCGTCGACGTACTCATGAATTCGCGCCTGCCATGTTTTCAAGCGGCTGCGCCACGGAAAAAGGTGCATCACTTGGTGCTTTCGGGACGGGGCCCTTGTTTCTGTCTAAGCCACATGGGCAAACAAGGGCCTTTTGGCAGGGATCGCTTGGAAAGTGAAACCATCGCGCCAGCGAGCACTGCAGGCGTCCCTGATTATGACACATTCCAAGGTCTTGCATTCGAGTACATGCGCCATGCTCAAAACCCCAGGGTGGATCATGACTTTGCTCACCATTCGGGATCCTCATGCTTCATGACGAAAGTCGAACCCCTCAATGACCAGCTGCCTAACGGAAATATCTGTTGGTTTCGTAGCCCAAGGGAGGACTGAGATTTGCCTTCCAACAGCCCAGTATCAGTTTTGGGGTTGCCTTGAAGGGAAACCACGGGGGAGACCAAAGATTTGGCAGGTTTTCCTTTGGTTTCCCTTTGAGCCGACCTCAAAAAGGGTACCCTCAGAAAAGCACACACACACAGCCAACTCCCCGCAATCCCACCAGGGCGATGATCTCGAATAAGGAGCCGATCGCACCTGGGCCGCGATCGAAATGCGAAGCTCCGTCGCCTACAAAGGAAGCTCAATCACCCCCAAGGCGACATGTCAGTCACCAAGGGGCAACCTGGCTGGTCTGCCCTTTTGATGAGGCTCACTAGCCGTGACTTTCGTTGCAACTCATTGTCAGTCTGGGGGCGGCGCTGTCGATATTGCCCTCGATCAAGTTCTGCATCATGAGGAGGTTGGTCATGCCTTGGATCCCCCACTGCTCCAGCATGATTCAAGCAAAATCTGCGAATCTCAACCCATGTTTGACGGATTGGTGGACTCAGGGGCACTACTGTGCATCTCCCACCCAAGCATTGTGCCATTTTACGTTGAAAGCCTTTGAAATGACAACGAATGGCTGATCCTCTTAACATATAATATGAGAACCCTTGGGAAATCCGTGAGCAGGCCGGTGGCCGGTGTAGCCGGGCCCATGCACAACCGTCGCGTCCTCTGGAAGTTCCAGGCCAAACAGAAAAAGATTTTGGTTGGCCAGCCTCGTCTCTACAATCTGGATTTGGGGAACCCCATTCCGTATTCGGCAAAGAATATCTTGGCGTGGGATCAGGTCTGGGAACCTCGCAGACGCCCAGAGTGCCAGCACCCACCTTGTCAGGATACAGCAGCGCTGCCTTGGTCCGCAGCACAATCCAACCCTTGTCCTCCTGCCTGAAGAAGCCAGCATGGCGGTTGACAGTACATCAAAAGGCCAGTGTGGCCATGGCAAGCTGCAGGCGACGGGGGGGCTGAGAATCAGAAAATTCGAAGCAATGCCAACAGTTGGGAGCTTGACAAAGTGTTGGCCCTGCACGTGTGGCAACTTCCCCATTCGCAGCACCCTTGTCTCAAACTCAGGCGGCCTGGTGGAGCGAAAATGGCTCAGCTCGATTCGTGAGAGAGCAAAATCCTCTAAGGCCTTGGCGACATAGGTGGTGCTCGTGAGGAAGCTCCACCTAGGAAGGGCACAAACTGCCCACAGCACTGGGCCCAACTGCTTGTGGGGCACCTCTGGGCTAGCCGTGGGCAGAGTCCGCAACCAAAGGCCTGGAACACAATTCTATGGATGCTATGGCTCAACGTGACACCGAAATGATTCCAAACGGCCCTCTATCTTTGTCAACTCCAATCGTGCCAGGACTGGATCATCCTGGGTAAGGACGTTGTGGCTACGCCTTGCTCATATCACCCTGTGCCGCTGGGCCGGGTTGAACTTAGTGCCGCTGGGCCGCAGGTATTGGACGCGGTTGCCTAGCCATCGCCGCAGCACGTTGTTGCTCATCATGCACACCTGCACAAAAGACAAACGGAGCCCTGGGGCAGGCGCTCCAAAACGAAAGAGACTCCTTAGAACGCACCGGTCCGTAAGTCTGGCTGCCGGGACACGTGCCACATCTGTTCCCCCCCCCCCCGATTTTTTTCCTCACACAGGGTGACCTCAAGCGTGCCATGCGTCCCAACGCAGAATGCCTACCATCCTTCGACCCTTCGTTCGGAACCGATCTATTCGATTGGGTGCTAGTTTTATACCCCACTGCAGTCAAGGCCAAAATCGAAGGCCGATTGGTGACTCTCGAGTCGAAACCCAGGTTTCAGCTTCGAGCTTCGATCCGCTCGCGCCTTCAGCGTCTTGTCCACTTGAAGGCACCTAAAGCAGACCATCCGATCGGGAAGAAAACGATTTCGGCGGATTCATGCCAGGGGAGTGAGTGGTTCCCCCAAAATGCTCCGGCCTGCCTCTATGCTGGCAACCACAGAAAGCACCAAAGCGTGCTCACGGAAACAAAGCGAGCAACTGTTCACCCCTCAAAGAAGAGAAAGCGCACTCGATATATGAACAATCAAATAGGAACTGCCCATAACTCGTCACCAAACATGCTCCCCGTCCAGCCCAGGAAACGTGACCAAACTCCCAAGACCAAGAAACAAGTCTGCCCCCAAGCTGCAACTTCTAAGACTTCATGCAGTCCGGTCGGCAGTTTTCCGTTCGGAAGCTGGAGTACAGCCGAGTTCCCGACACTCCATTCTATCGTTTGCTGGGTGCCCAATTGAGAAACCGAATTTCCCCAAAGACACAAGCCTAAAGCCATCAGCCAATATTAAGCAAAGAGGACTGAGGACCGACACTGAACCAACTCTAAGCAACACCAACTCAACCAACACAACTAACTGGAGAGGTTTGAACTGTATCAAAATTGGCGCCTGGGACCTTCGCATTGGGAGGAAACACCCCCACTATCCCCCACTGACCTTGCTGGCCAAACAAAAGCTTAGACTCTCAAGTGTTTTCTTGACTGACATGATGAAGAAACCAACCCACAAGTCTGATAATTCAACATTGAGCGTCACACCCCGGTTCCCTATTAGCACTTTCAGTAGTGATAGATCCCTTCAATTTCCAGCAGGGGAAATCAGCAAAAAAAACCTCGAGCCCCAGGCATCTCCTCGGACAGACGGCCCTCATCCCCGTAGGCGCGGATGGCAGCCTCGGCAGAACTGCAGGCTGCCGCTTGGGCGTTGAAAGGGAAACCTCCTCGCGAAACTTTTCCGTGTTTTGTGGCGGTTCACGACATGTGTGACACCCAAAAAAGGGTTGTTTTTTGGGTAAGGCCACCCAAGCAAGGGGTTTACGCAACCTAGACGAAATTGTAAATCCCAAAAAGGGGGGTTCTTTGGTAGAGGCCACCGCACGGGGTTCGCTCTTGGCTTTGATGCAAGACATCCGGTCCCAAAGAGTTGGTTCTTGAAAGCCGCGTCCCACAGACGAGTTGTTGCACATACCGCTAGGGGATCTTGGCAACGAATGCTAATCTACCCCCAGCGATGGTGTTAGCAGGTTGCATGCTTCAGCCCAAAGCCAGCCCCCCAATCAAACGTACTGTGCTAGTCATTTGGTCCGAAACAACCAAGGCTGAACCGTGCGCGCATCCAAAGCAGATTCACGCTTGAGCTCGCTGCAGTGCTTGACATCACGTCCGTGACCAACCCGTTCATATCCTCATGCGCCACCGGCTGCGGGATCTCAGCCTTTCTGTGCTCATTGTCAGAAAGGGGGCTGACAGAACGCAAGGCGGCCCTACAACCCTGACCACGACCAGGACGGAATTCAGATTTGTGCAAGCAAAGTTCCGCAGGCCCTACCAATGGGCAGCGCACCATTGCTTACCGCCCCATTCTACACGCCTCAGGGCCAGCAGTGGGCTCTCTACACGTAGGGTCAAATCAGGCCCGTCATTTCACAGGGTTGGGATATTTTGCAGCCCGCACAAAGCATCCAGGGCCATTTTGAAAGTGACCTGAATGAAAGGGTGTTTGCACCTTCAACAGTTGGGGTACAAATTATAACATGCAATATCCCCTTGGAAAAACGGCCCAACCCACTACAGCTTCCAAAAGGAGCTACCCCCAGACCGGTAGCTCACAACCCAGGGCACCGTACTGACTTGGAGCTAGCAAAGCAGTAGCGCATCGGCCTTGGATCGGAGCTGGTTTATCAGGGCATTGAAAGTGTCTGACCAAATAATGAGAACCTCGAAATGGCGAAGAAAGCAAGCATAGACTATAAAATGATAAGGTCCCTGGTCAAATCGGAGAAAGGGACACCTCTGGTAAATGCAGCCGCCACGAAACAAAGACAGCAAATCAACATATGTTTGTATTTGTTGTTTGCTCATGGCCACCACCGACCAAAACGGAGAATGAACCTTTGACTGCACAATGGTTGGGTTGGGGGTCCCAAGTTTGATAGATTCCTGGATTCCCAGTTGACACAGGCTTGACTTTGACTAGGAGCACGGCAATGTGGGGGGACCCTGAAGGGTTCGAATCGAACCCCTTAGGGTTCCAAGAGCCTTTCTTGGGTCTGTGGTTTGTTTCAGATAGCGTGGCTGGTCCAGACTGAGATTCGGCTGGGGCCAAGGGTGAACAACATGAGAGCAACCCTTGACAGCAACCCCCACGACGTTGCAATTGAGTGTGCCCCAATGTCTCCGGCTACAAGAGCCTGGCCGACACATGGTTGGCCCACCAGGTGCCCCCACACCGAGGTGTTCCTGTAGCGCTCGTAGATGGTAAAGATCAGGTAGTACAGCGGCAAAGCCCTGAACGATGGCTGCGTGCAGGAACCGGCGACTCGTGTCTTGGGATTGGCTTCAAAAGGGTCCACGAAAGGTTTGTGTCATAAGAGCCTATGTGTGGCTTTCATTGGGTGAAGTTCTCTGTGTCACAGCACGGGTACCCTAGAACAACACCCCATATGTTGGCTTTGCAAATACGAGTAGGAAATGATGAGTCGTTGCGCAACTTTGCCGGCAAACTGCGCGCATGTTGTTGTGGGTTGTTGATGTCCTGTTGGTTCCTCTCTACAAGCCACCCCCGCAAGAACGGAACAAGGCCCCCCAATGGTAAAACAACCCCATTTGGGTCTCTTAAATTGCCCCCCTTCCAATAATTGGGTTGGTCTCCCTTTCGAAGCTTACCAAAAGGTGCACCCTCAAAGAGACAACACAAAACAATGTTGGCATGGCATACTCAGGAACCATCCTGCTGGCATCTTCCTCTTTCTGCCTTCATGGGAAATGAGCGGCGCCCAAATCCATGGGCTGTTGGTTCCACTGCAATTGCTACAACGGGATTGTCTAGGACCTAGAGGAACAGCCCATCCTGCAGTACTTAGATGTCTGAAACCTAGGTCTAACTCCCATTCCACCAACTCAAATGGTCATCGGCAGTGACTTTCTCCCGGCAACCGGGGCCAAGGCATCACGGTGATGAATGCCGGCACCATGGTGTGCACCTTCCAGCGGGTAAAGCTTGCACAGTCTGTATTGTCTTGCTTGGTGCTGCGGTTAGAGCACACGTGTCAGGCATTCCCCACGCGCACATACAAAGAACACAAACAAATGGGTGTGGGGGGTCAAAATTAACCACCAGGGGACCGCTGGTTTTAGTCCGTGTTTCCATTTACCAGGGTTGCATTCTGGGGTTACCCTATTTTTGACCCACACCCAAATCAAGTCACACCGGCAAAGCCTTGGCGCTCCCCAACCTGTGTCTGACCGGCCAAGCCCCGCGCGTAGATCAGCGGCACCACGGTGCCGTAGATGATCGTCACGGTGAGCAGCGTCTTCGCGTAGAGGGACAGGTCCACGCTGGCCCTCATGTCGGAGAGTCGGTCCGGGGACAATACCAAAGCAACCAGAAAAAAAAGAAACAAAGAAACGAAGACAGCAACAAACGAACATTTATATTTAAGCACTGGGCATGTCATGGGAACGTCAGGTAGAAAGCAATGACTTGGACTTTCAACTTGGCAAGGGCTCATGTCATGTACTCCTGAGGCTGTATATTATACGGCTCCTGGGTTTGATTCAGTTGATTAATTAAGTTACCTTGCGCCAGGTGGGTCGTGTCAAAAGCTATGGCACCCTTGCAAGTGGCAACCATGCAGTTTTGTGCTCAACAGTGTTATTCATGTTGGGCAATGGTGCCCCCACCCCGCGATAGATTGACCAAAAAAACACCCAGGGATAGTTGACAAACCAACTTCAAACCGGAATGTTGACAATGCAAGTTCACGATGCAGCCAGGTCCGATACCTACTATATACATCTAGCTCTGCAAGTGACGCGTTGACACTCCCAAACACAAGGGCACATGTTCCCAAAAGGGCCTGGTCTTGCTTAACCCAAGTGTACGTCGCGTTCAGGGCCCCACGGTAGGCCCAGCTTTTGCCAAACCTGAC